AGCTGGAAGACATCTCATTGCAAAGTCCTGCAAGTCAGTTGCAACCCCATCGCACACAAGAGGGGGCAAAGTCTTGTTTCCTAACGACACCATAAATATGCTAGAGATGGAGGGAGGACAGGGTATGGTAGTGTCATTAAGCACCACTCACACTTGTGACAGCATCTGACCCCAGAAGATTGGTACCCAGAACTTTTCAAACACCTCCTATAATCCTGCTTCCAAAATGGAGAACTGGTAGAAGCAAGGAGTCTTATAATCTAGTTGTTAGAAACTGGTAGTAGGTTCAAATCCTGACTCTACTATATACTCCTTGTAATAACAGCTACAACAATAACACCTATATCTTCAGGGTTCAATTCAACCATACAATGTTTATAAAGTGATTCACCCAATAGTAAGTATTCAATAAAGGGTAGCTACTATTGTAAGTACATGAGTAAGAAGAATGGGAAACACCATTTTCTTAAAATCTACTATAGGCCAGGCACTATATGGGTGATTTACATATTTTATCTCATTTAATCCTCCCAACTATGAAGCAAAATGGGTAACAGTATTCCCGTTTCACACATGAGGAAACTAAGGCCCAGAAGCGCTCAGCTCTTTGGGGCCCTGTTCTCTTCCGCCATGTCTGATGGCCCACATTTCCCTACTTAACTGATTCCCCCATCAGCCGTGGGGCTAACAATGCCTATCAACTTGAGTTTTTCTTTTGAGGTAAAGCGTAACTTTAATCAAAAGTAACTCAACCTTAAGTAACAATTGAGTCTGTCCAAATCATCCAAATCTGTTTCATTCTAATTATTTTTTTCTATTTTAAAAAGAGAAACAAATTACAGCCCTGAGCACAAAAGCAGAAACAGGAAGAGGTGTCTTGGATTGAAACAACCTCAGCACAAGGAACTCAAAGACTCTTCTCAAACACAATTCCAGGGGAGCAGATCTTCCCATCTTACAGAGTGGAGAAAATGGCAGGAAGCAGGGTTACAACCAGCTCTTGCTCGGGTCCCCAAATGTGATATTTCATTTTATAAATCTGTGCCTTGATACTCCCTCTGTTTTGTAATGCAGTTCCATTTTTCACCAGGCAAATTATCATTCTTTCTTCAAAACCCCGCTCAAATCTCCCCCTTTTTAGTAGCTTTCTCTGACATCCCCTCATAAAGTTAATTGCTCAAATGTGATCCAGTAGCACAGTTTATTCCTATTTCATAACTTTTATCTTAGTGTATTATAAGATGTTAGGTATCTGTTTCTCCCACTAGCTGTAATTTTCAAGGAGTTAGGGGAGAAGGATGGAAGACAGCAGTATAAGGTGTATGTGTGTACGTGTGTGTAAAAAAAAACTTATTTGACATGGTAATTCTTTGACTTATTTTGTCAGACTCTTTAATGCATTTTAAAATTTCAAATAGCATTAAAGAAGAGCATGAGATTACTTCACTGAAATGGCACATGAGTTTTATGGGCCGGCCCGTGGCTCACTAGGGAGAGTGTGGTGGTGATAACACCAAGGCCACGGGTTCAGATCCCATATAGGGATGGCCGGTTAGCTCACTGAGTGAGCATGGTGCTGACAACACCAAGTCAAGGGTTAAGAAATGGCACATGAGTTTTAAAAGCCCGAGAAACACTGAGATAGATCCTTAGCAAGGACCACATTTTATTCATTTCTGTTTTCCCAACGCCCAGCACAGAGCCAGGCACAAAGTATGAGTAAATATTTGCTGAATAAATCAATATCCCCAGAGTAATGATGCCAACTGCTCTGGAATTAGAACATGTTAGAACAGAGCAAGGCCTAAGCACCAAACAAAGCTTCTTTTCTTTCTTTTTCTATCCTTCCTCCTAGCCCACCCCATTCTATCTTCCCCAGTTAGAGAGAGAGAGAGGATTGTCTTGGTGCCGGAATACTATTAAAAGGATTAATTTAGGGACCGGTGTTTGGACTGTCACATCCAATCACTACCCACAGATCTACAGCTTCCCAAATCAGGCTCATGCAAAGAGGAATCAATTGCAAGGACACAGAGGGTCTGAACAGGCATACTAATGGTTTCCTTAGGTGCCAGCGGCCAGGTCTGACACTCCCATAAATTATCCGCCTTTTGATTTTACCTGTAGCTGTGGGGCACAAGACACAATTTTGAACATATCAAAGCAATCCCTCGTACCCGAGGCTCCCCAAGGAATGTACCCAAAGGAGGAAAGGCTTAAAACAACTACCCAAAGGGAATTTGCTTTCCAACAGGTCTGAAACTAGTGGTTATCAATTAAAATCCAACAGAACCAAGTGGATAAAGTGGGACCCAAATCAAGCCAAGCAGATCTAACCAACGCATGCATCAGACTGCAGTTCTGCAATGACTATGCATCTCTCACTCAAGGGAAAAGAAATCACAACAATAAACTAATACAATTTCATCTGGAGGTAAATATGCACTAGCTTTGACAGTACTCACAGTATGACCCTGGCCAACTCACTTAACCTTCCTGGGCCTCAGTTTCCTCACATGGAATTAGCAAGGATGAGAATGCTGACCACCTGACCTATTTCCCAGAGTGGAAGTAAAAAGTAAAAAACATTAGAGAGGCGATTTACAAAGCGGGGAGGGATGACTGGTCACACTTTGGTGAATTTCTATTGGGAAGCTACTCACTCAATTCACTTTACTGATGGCGTTGGGACTAAGGTCCACCCTGAAAAAAGTTCTGGGATTCTGAATGGAACTCCTGCTGTCTGAAATTTTCCATTCTTTATAATGGAGTTCCATTCTTTATAAGAGGAGTGCCTTGCTTTGAGAAAACTTCCTCGGGTCTGCTAGTTGTCACTGCCAGGGGCTATGTTTCTATCATACGGATACAATGACAACTGTGAGGACATACAAAATATACTAAGCCAAAGGCCAAGTCACACAACTACTGGCTGTTTTTAAAAACTTATTAGCTGTGTAAAATACTATTAGTAATAAAAGTTACCAAGACACTCTTCTTAGAGCTTTCCATACGTTCGTTATTAAATCTTTTAACCAATGCTATTAAGTCTCCATTTCACAAAGTGAAGCTCAGAGAGGTAAGTCACTCTCCCAAGGTTAAACTGATATGAGAAACCTATAGGTTCCCTCCAGCAATTCAAGTACACTGGGCTTGTAGGAAAAGGAGGACAAAGGAAAAGAGCAGATTCAGGACACTGGACATTCAACAAATACTTTATTTGGTCCCTGTGCCTGACATATACCATCATACCTGAACTGGGAGACACTTCCAAACCAGAAAAATCTGGTCTGCTACAAGCACTGAAACAAGAGACTGAGTAGGACACATAGAGAATAAGGACAATTCCCTGGAAAGCTTAGGAAAATGGGTCATCTTCTGTGTACACAGTTCAAGAAGTTCAAAACAACTGACATTACACTATGAGCCCTAAGACCAAAATCTCCAGAGCTCCATTTATTCCATACTTTCTTCAGGGGAAAACAGTTCCCAGTTCTAATTCATTCTATACCAATTTTCCCTTCATACATCTTTGCCAGTCTGTGAAATAGGAGCTGGTATCTCCAACAAACTGTTTGTAGACATCCTTTAAGCTCCAGTAGATGGCCAAGAAGTTAGTAAAGAGAACCAATATACACACGTGTGCAAAGATTCAGTTATACTCAATTTTTAAGGGCCAAAATACTGCCACAAAAGGGGAAATATATAATACTACCCATGTAACTGCCACAGCCTCCTTATTGGTCTCTCTGCCTCCAGTACTGTCTGTCCTCTTTAATCCATTCTTTGCACTGAAATCAGAACAAACTTTCTAAAACATAAATCTAATGTCAGTCTACTACTTAAAACCCTTTAACAGCTTCTTATTGTTCTTAAGGCTGATCCCAGGGTCAGCAAACTATGGCCCATGGCCCAAATCCAGCTACAACCTGTTTTTATAAATAAAGTTTTATTGGAATACAGCCACACTTATTCATTTTCATACTGTCTGTGGCTGCTTTCACGCACAACTGCAGAGTTCAGTAGAGTGGGTAGACAGGAATGAGACTCACAAAGCCTAAATATTTACTCTCTTGTCCTTTACAGAAATAGTTTGCCATCCCCTAGTCTAACCCTAAAGGCTTACAAGGCTCTGGTCTCTGCTTGCTTTTCTTGCTTCATACTCTCACCTAATTCTCCTACCTGCTGCCCATTAAGCACTATTACAACCACACTGAACTTTCTCAAACTCAGCAAAGCTCTGACACTTGGTCCCACATGTCTTCATCTAATTCTAGGTGAGGTTACTTCCTCTGAGAGGCCTTCCCTTGTCCACAAGCATGAATTAGGGACCTTTCTGAGTACTACCAAAGCACCTATATTTCCCTTATACAATTCTCAGAGTGTGTCATTACTGCCTCTTTACTATCTGTCTCTCCCATAAATTTGTAAGGTCTTTGGTGTCAGGGACCGTGGATGTTTGTTCACCACTACAATCCCAGGAACTGGCCCTTAGTTATTGAACAAACAGCCTCCGAGCCCCTGGATATCAAATCATCAGAGTCCGCCTTTTTAGCCAGCTCTTGATCCTTGTAAAATGGAGATAGGATGGGATTAGCCATCCACCCAATGGTGACACACAACCCAAATCAAACCAAGATCCCAAATGCCTTGGCCAAATACATTATCAAAAGCCAAATGAATGTGTTTCCTCCTACTGTCTTCAGATGTGTATTTCTCAGGATAAATGACTATTCTGGCTCTATTCAACCGTCCTGAACCTAAAGTAGTTGCTCGTTCAACGCCCATAAAGAAATGACAAAAACTCCAGAGTTTGGATCCTCCACCCCCAACTCTCATCACTTCATAGACTTTGGGTAAGTTACATAGACTCTGAGCATATGCTGCCTTTTCAGAAGAAGCTACAGAAAAATACAATCTGCACCGGCCCCCACCCTATACACACCCAAGCCCAGATACTCAGAAGGAAGAAGTTAAACTTAACCATGCAACAGGTTTCTCACCTCTCCTTACTTCGAAGATGCCAAGACTGGCAGCTGGGGATGCTGATGGATCTGTGAGAGCTGGAAAGCCCCAATGCTGTGGATAAATACACATCTCTGCAACAAGTCTATTTCAATACAAAGAATCAAATCCCCATTAAGGATAACACTACATTTCAAACTCCTAAACTCAAACTTTCGGATAACAGCTATCTATGTGGAAAGATGGTGCCCCTACAGAGCTTTCAGAAGCTATTAATACTATATTTGTTTTAGGAATGATGGATTTCATGTTCTCTAGTAGTATATTTTTCTTCCTAAGGAGGCTTACCTCCTAGAAACACTAAACATTTACAATATCTGGGGTGGGACCTGAGAAATGTGGCCATGAAGTGGTGGCGCTCTGGATAATTTTAGAATCCTGGTCTAATCAAGAAGGAGACACTGGTAAGGCTGACAATACTAGGAACTCAGGAACTGAGACTGGGCCAGGACTGGGGTTGCCACAAACCCACAGGCCATATTGCAAACGGCCACATAGACCAAGAAATGCTTTCAGGATACTTCCAAGTCTGCCTCAAGTTCTAAGAAAGTCACGGTAACCAAACCCCAAGTCAAAACATCAATGGATACCTATTATATTTAACACCTAATTCATCTTCCAAAGGACTAGAAGTTGGAGAGATGCCCTTGTAAGCTAGTGATGCTCTTTGCACAGAGAAAGAACTAGGATTAGAACCAATACATTCCTGTCTTCCATTCTACACATTTAAGAATTTATTCTACTCATATGCCCTGGGAAAAAGCCACTCACCAATTTACTCCACCACAAAGAAAACATTTTTCAAAATGAAAGGGAATGAAAGCACTTTTATTTGGAAATTTCACGTTGGAAAGAAAGCTCTTAGCCAAGCTCTACGACCTAGCTAGCCGATTACTTACAGGATCTTTGGGCAGGAATTGTTAATGAGCTTTTAATTTGGAGTGCTTAAGTTGCCAAAGTGCTATGAGCTCCAGTAAAGTACCACAGAATCCATAAAGGAAAACCTTATCAATAACTTCCTGGCTGCCTACTGCCCCCACCCCTCACTTCCCAAAAAAGGCAGCCAAGTAGGTTTCTAACCAAGATCACAGACACACATTAGTGGAGTCACACTCCAAGTCCCTGTTTATAAATTGGCTTTTAAATGATAGGGGACTCAGGTATAATATACTTAAGCTCCAAGCACAAACCACTAAAACAAGGCATACTGTGTATGATAAAGTCAGAATAAACCAGAATTTGATGAAGCCAATTTCTGGTAGAAATTCCACAACCAAAAATCATTTATCCAATCACAACCTACTATAGTACAAATAAAGTACAGTCTTTAGCCAATAGAGTTCATGTTTAGTTGCTCTTCAGCTGGGAGACTAATGAAATGTTCGACAAGAGTAAATGCCATAGAAGCGGCCAGAGACCTCTGGCAGAGGCAATGATGGGCACTATCAGTTGCAAAATTCAGCCCTAAAGACAAAATCCAAATCCCCAATGAAAGGGCCCACATCCAGGTCAACAAGGAGCGGTTATATTTTGCAAGAACTCTAGGCAAGCTTCAAACCATGTCCATGTTTTGTTTGAAGAAAACACCTGTTGCTAGACCATTTGCAGGAAAAGCAAACAGAAAGCTAGCCAAATTAGGCCCTTATTCACTCCTTCCACCATCACTACTACCACCACTTCAGATTTACAAAGAGGTAAACTGCTAACCTTGTGAGTGTGCGTGTCAGGGAGGGGAGAAAGGGGACGTTGTATATACTATCTTCTTGCTCCATTTCTAACCTCTGTGGTCAAACCTTTTTTCCTCTTCTCTAGTAATCCCAGGTAAGAAGTCAGCCCCCTTAATCGGCTCACCCAGACTGTCTTGCAAAGCCCTGGCCCGCTACCCCACCGACAGAACGTTACTCAGTAGATCATGCATTTAGGGTGAGCACATGGGCCAGCACCCAAAGCTGCACAAACTGCGCGCCGCGACCCTCACCCCGCATGCATTAACCAGGGCCCAATGGCGAGGGGGGGGGCTCTTGGCATCACCCACCCCGGGGTGTTGCCCCCAACTCGGGCCCATCCAAGTCCAGGGGAGCGTAAGGGGAGGGGCAGGGGGCCAGGAGACCAGCCCTCCTTCCCAGGGCCGCCCCCGTCCCCCGTCAGCTGCGGGAGAGGCTGTCGCCATGGCAACGCCCCCTCCACGGGGCCAGCGCGGCAGGCTCCCTCCAGGTGCAGGCCCCGACGTCTCCCTCGGCCTCAGCAGGCGCTCAGGGCAGTTGACCGCGGCGGGCGCGGCTCGCGCCGACTGCGGCGCCAGCTAGGCAGAGGCAGGGCCACCTCCGCCCGCTCCCCACCGCCCGTTCCCGGCCGCCTCAACAGCGGCAGCCAGCACCACGAGTCCACAACACACCGACTCACCTCCGCGCACTCTGACCCCTACCGACGCGGCGGACAGGCGGGCGCTGCGGCCAACCGCTGAGCCCGCCGCCGGCCACTTTGACCAATGGGAGGTTGTGGGGCGGGGCTTCTTCTCCCCAAATGCTCGCTCTCCCGCCGACATGCGCGCTAAGGTGTGTCAAGATGGTGACTCCCGGCGGCCAGCTTTATGGGACTTGTAGTTTTGAGGTTGCACGTACTCAGAAGGTTAGGGCGGGGGTGTCGCTTCTGAGCTTTGAAAGGGATTTTTTTTAAAACGAAAACTTTCTCAGGCCTAGAGCGACGCAGGTCCCCACCTCCGTTTTCCCACCTTATAATATACCTCTAGGTGAGTATAAGCTAAGGTGACATATTCTATTTAGATGACACCTTCTCATGATTCGTTCATTCGACAAGTAATTATTATCATCTGCTCTCTGATGTAGAGCCCTGGGGAGATCTGAGAGGAGGGGGATTTAATGAAGATGAAAGAGCTTCCACAGTCATTCTCTCCAGTCAGCTGGAGAGAACTTTGGCCAAAGCCAAAAATGTCTTTCTTCATCTATGGTCACCAGGTTATAAACCGGGAAACCCCAGCCTTGGCCAAGCCAGTGATGGCTTTGACAACCTCCTCATCAGTCAGGACCCATCCTCTTGGCCCAGCTTCAGCTACCAAGCCCCTCTGTCTGCCATCTGCATATTTTCACTTAAAACAATGATGTCATTTCCAGGCCCTACCACCTCTGAGATCTGACCTTGCTATAATGGCTCCCACCTGAGCTGGGAATGCCTAGTAATCCCCATATTAGGGAAAGCCTTCCTTAATCTCACCCACATAATGCGTTAGGTAATTCTACTGTGCACCTTCGACAATGATCACATTGTTTTACAATTACCTGTTTTCTTGTTTGTCCCCCAGGGCTGTAAGCTCCTTTAGAATAAACATTATTTTCATATTGTTCATACTTTATCAATAATACCCAGCATAATGCCAGGCATAAAGCAGGCCCACAAAAAATGTTTGTGAACAAGTGAGCGAATAAGCAGCAGGAGCAGACTTATCCCAAGGTCGGTAAAGTGGGAGCACATCTGGCCTATCCCCTGAATGTTTGTGAACAAGTGAGCGAATAAGCAGCAGCAGGAGCAGACTTATCCCAAGGTCGGTAAAGTGGGAGCACATCTGGCCTATCCCCTGATTATTGCAGATGGAACTGGGGTTTCCTCCTGCTGTTCAACCTAGACATTAACCCCACTTGGTCAATCAGTCAACATATATTTATAGTGCCTCTCAAGTGTCAGGCACTGTTTTGGTTGTGAGGATTCAGTGGTGAATAAAACACAAAATCTGTATCTTCAAAGAACGTTTATATTGGCGAGGGAATGGGGGAGGAAAAACAGAAAATTAGCAAGTAAATATATAAATAAAATAAGAAACATAAGAGGTAGCAAGATGGCTTTGTTGTATCCTGAGTTCTGGCCCAAATATAGGGCACAGCCAACCTTCTTGGCTGTAAGAATGAAGTAAATCTGTATGAGTACTATCTGGATTGGAGACTTTATTTGAGGCCCATCACCAACATCCTCCATAAAGCCTTCCATGGTCCTTTAACTTTCCCAGCGTGTGCTCTTTTCTCCTTGGTGTCCTAGAACTCAACTCTACAGCCTCCAGGACCTCCCCAGACTATAGGCTCTTGGACAAAGACCAGGCAAAATGTGTTCAAATAATAGAACAATTTAAAAGTTCATTGTACACTTGGTGCCTTACACTGCCACCTAACCCAGTATTTGGCTCCCCTCAAGTCTTGACTCTGTTGTGTGCTGTCTAGTTTTCTGGAAAACAGAGCCTGAAGCAAAGCTTATATGCTCAAACTTAATTGGGGAGTATAATCCCAGGGCATCAAGAATAGGGGGAAAAAGGAAGGGAGGCAGGAAGGAGGAAAAGAAAATACAAGGTAGCGTATAACCAAGTTGGCCAGAGCTTCAAAGAAAACACAGCTCTATCATACAGGATGTATTGTAGACAGGCCGTGTAGAACCGTCACGCCTCAGATAGGGAGAAAGGAAAGGTTGTGTTACACCACCAGTCTGGTAGCCACAGGGGGTGCCAAATTCCACACACACCCTGAAACACAGTGGTTCGTCTGAGACTGGAAATGCTGAGAGGAGTCAAAGCCTCTGATTAGGTCAAATTGTGTCCATCTCAGTCCAACCACAGTGTGCACATTGGGGGCTGTCTCACAACCTAACCCTCATCCCAGGGGAGGCTAAGATAACCAGATATGTTAGTAAATGAAGTAGTAGTGGGAACTGGGCTGTCCAAGAAACAAGTGGCCAATGCCCAGGTGGAGGAGCAGATGGGGCAAGTGAATTTGGGGAGGCAGATGAACTGAGTTCAGTACATAGACACAGATACACCCTGTGGGTAAATTCCTGGCTACTAGATTAAGTGACTGAGCTAAACTGAACTCTGAGAACAAGAACCAAAGAGAGGACCAAGTTGGTTCTTCTGCTACCCTGTCAAACCACAAGGAAAAGCAGCAAGGTGACCATCAAAGCTGGGACTTTAATCAGCAATCACAGGATAGAGAATACAAGATTCAAGAACAGTGCATGGCAATCTCCAAACTTGGCATAGCTGAGAGAACCCAGACTGAGTATGAAACCATTTTGTCAGGGAACTGAAAAAACTGCTACTGCCATTTTAGTCCCTACAGGCTACACAAGACAGCATAGTGCAGTTACAAGGAGTGTAGGCTCAGAGAGATCCTGGTCAAGTGTGAGCCGAGTATGAAACCATTTTGTCAGGGAACTGAAAAAACTGCTACTGCCATTTTAGTCCCTACAGGCTACATAAGACAGCATAGTGCAGTTACAAGGAGTGTAGGCTCAGAGAGATCCTGGTCAAGTGTGAGCCCTGGCTCCATCTATGACCTAAGGCAAGTCACACTCCTTTCCAAGATTCAGTTTCTTCCTCTCTAGAGTGAAGACAATACTAGTACCTACCTGTTATTAGAATTAAATATACAAGTGCTTAGCACAATAACTGGCATAAAAGTTCAGTAAATGCTGGTGGTTATTACTATTATTTTCACCCTTCCCCACCCCTTTCTCCAGCTCCTCTTCCCACCATGACCACCACCATCCCACCTCCTCGGCCACCCAACTCACACCCCCGGCAGTCTTCTGCTGCTGGAGGAGCAGTGGGGGCTGGACTTGGCCATGCCTTCTCCCTGCTCTCCCCAGGGCTGTTCCCCATGAGCTTGAGCCATTCATCTCCCTGGTGACCTGAATCTGAACTAAGAGATGGATGTGGGGTGGCTGAGGCCGGGGTGGTAATGTGCTCCCTTATCTCTGTGCCCCTCACTGGGGCCTAGTTAATTTTCCCTTTGATTTTAATATAGATTTATTGAAAGTTTCAGTTATCAAAACAAACTGCAGCAGCAAATTGGTGTTCTTTGCAAGCCTACAAGTGCCTATAAAGCTGCCACGCTCGGAACGAATGGCGCTCTCCGGGAGGTCAGTCATGGCAGCAGGAAGTCCCTGGGGACACACACACTGCAGTTTAATATTTTTCTTATTAGCCTTTTTCTTCTTGGCTATCTAAGCCTCCCCTTTAAATCGGAAATCAAATGGAGCCACCTGCCCAGGGAGGCTCTCTTCCCCAAGCTGCCCTACTCTCTGTCCCCTCTGGTCCTAGCCTTCTCACCTCAAATCCTCTAACTTCACCCTGCCTTGTCCACTGGCCCAGAGAGAATTGTGATTCACATGCCCCAGAGGTGTGGCTCACAAATGCATGAATCCCACAGCCCCATCCCAACTGTACAGGATTGCTCGGGCTATCCAGCCACTAGTCAGAGGCAAAACATCCTCAGAAAAGACTGGGGCCCCAGGCTTCTTCCAGATCTGGTGCTCAGAAGGGAGGAAAAAGCAAAGTTTGAAAGCAAAGAAGTTGCTTTCAAAAAAGCAGGCAATCATGTCAGGATCTATTGAACTCAACAGAAGCAAAAAGGAGATGATGGAAGATCCTAGAGAGTGAGCAAGTTCTTCCAGCCCAAGAATTGTGTGATTTCATTCTATTATCCCCACTGCCACTCCCAGTATGGCCTCTCCTCTCAATCCCAGCTTGATTTTTGAGGACTTTCACTCTCTGGCCCCAATCTGCCTCTCTAAGTACCCGCTTGGTTTTCTGCTTCCAGTGCCCCAGGCGCTCTCATAGGCAGAACGATTCTTTGCCACCTCTAGGGTCTGGGATCAATCCTGTCCTAAGGGAGGGTCTCCATGGCCTAGTAACCTTGAGGGCACCATCATCTCTTCTAGGTCTGAAGTGCTGCTGGGTCACCTGTATGGCCACATCCCAATTCCCAATGTCCTCTTCTTGCTCTTAAAAATTCCCTGCCAGCAGCAAGGGATACTGCCCTTCCTTAGAACTTGGACTATGTCTAAGGGTTCTGACAACTATAGCTGTGCAGCTAGAGTGGTGGAAGGTGCTGACGTTTGGACCCAGAAGATAGTCTAGGATTTTAGTCCTGGTTGTAACACTTTCTGACTCTGTGACTTAGAGAAACTCTTTGTGGTTTCACTGCACCTTGTGCTTATATCTACTCTTATCTAAGAACCACTCTGTAATAAAATGATTTGCCTCTGTCTTTCTCCTATGATATTCTGAGATCATCAAGGAAAAGGACTGTGTCTTAATCGTCTTGATATTCCATGTACATACATTTGATGAATAAGTGAAGTCACCTTCTCTGAGCCTCTTTCCTCAACTGTAAAATGGAGATAAGAGCTGCATCACCAGCACAGTGAAGAAAGCATCCACCACACTGCCCGCCAGCATAAGGTAGGTATTTAGTGAGTGAAGCTGCCTTCTTCAATTTCCTGAGGTTGGTCATCAGCCACCAGCACTCCTACCTTTTCCCTGTTTCCATCTCAATTTTGAGTTCAGCTCTCTCCTGTTGCCTTCTGGGGCCTTCCATCACTGATCAGATGCCAGCAATCACCCTGGCCCCTT